GAGCAGGCCTGCAGTTGGGCCGGAGGAGGAGGAGGAAGAGGAAGAAGAGGAAGAAGAGACCCAGGGCAAACGTTGGAGGTTTGGAGCGTCGGGAAAGTCCTTTGGCTTCGCAAGGTTCGTTTTGTCTCTCGCAGCGGTACCACATCAGGGTCACATGTACAGGTACCTGTACGTACTTGGTTTTGGCGGTGCTCGAGGGCGGGGGCAAATGTCAAGGTACCGGCAGTCGCGCTAGGCCGGGTTGAAGTTGTTGCTTGCTCCAAAAGGCCGTTTGGAGGGAATAATTCCAGGATAGGCTTAGCGACAGTGTTATCCCGTTTATGTCAGCGTGCATAAAATTAATTTCCCAATGACATAATAATTACAGCAGAGAGAACAAAACAAATTGCCCAAAATAGAGGCGTGGGCTTTTTTATAATATGCAACCCTCGATTGACCGTTAACACCCGTGTATACCTATACCAGCATTGGGGATGTATGCTAAAAGGTTCACTCGACGAATGAATCGCGCTCCAGAATAGCCTAAACAAGGGGCTAACAAGCCAAAAAAAAAAAAAAAAAAAAAAAAAAAAAAAAAGAAAAAAAAAAAGGTCGCTTTCTGTGTACACAAAGCATAAAAATAAAGCCGAAACTAAAACTACAGCCGATTTCCTTTACTCATCCCCAACCCCGAACCCAGGCTTCGACACGGGTCTCACAACCTGGTACCCCTTCTCCAGCGCCAGCTCAACCGTACACCGGACCCTGACAGCCGCAACAGCAGGCCACACCCCCCTCTCCCCCTTCAAAATCCACTTCCCCAACCCCAACCCCGCCTTCGCATCCACCCTCTCAAACACCCGCCCTAGATCCCAAACCCCCAACTCTGGCAAAATCGTTAGATGAGGCCCAGGCACATCCTCGTAAATCAACAGCCGACGGAGCGGCGTCGGCAACAGGCCTACACTATCCAGCTGCCGCAGACGATGGCGGATCTCCAGATTCACTATGCGGCCTGTGCGTTCGATGAAGGTCCATCTGGCCGGGCGCACCTTGCCAGGCCGCTGTTGCTCTTCGGGGAGGTAGAGGGGCATGCGGTAAGGGCGGGCTTGGGCGACGATGAAATGGTTTACGTTGAAGAGTTCTGAGAGGCGGGAGAGGGGGCATTCGCGATCGCTGCAGCCGAGTTCGCGCCAGGACCGGAAAAAGAGGCCGTCGCCGTCGGGCCAGGGAACGATGGCTCCTGTCTCATCTTTGCAGTATAACGTCACCCGAGACGAAATTACGGAGGACACGTTCGAGGCGGCGGCGGCGGACCATATCAACTGTGTAACAGTAACATCAGCTCCTGGGCAGACACCCAGACAGATAAAGAGGAAGGGAGAGAGAGAGAGAGAGAGAGAGAGAGAGAGAGAGAGAGAGAGAGAGAGAGAGAGAGAGAGGGAAAATTTAGCATCGTACCACATGAGGCGCGGTCAGATAATTAAGCAAATTCGGCGTGCCCGCCTTCCCGGGAATCGGTATAGTAATATTCAGAGAACGCTTCGTCTTCGCAAACGCCTCTTCGAAAGTCATCTCACCAACAGTAGCCTTGACATATTCCTCCAAGAGTTTCAGATCCGGAAAATAGCTCTCTCGGATGTATTCCTCGGTCCGGCGGATCAAAGTCGGCAACCACCCGTGGCCATCACCACGCGTGAGGAGCCCCAAGATGCTCTGCCGCTTGCTACGGTTCCGCTCCAACAGCCGATCAGATATAGCCTCGACCATCCCTTCCCCGTTCAATATCGGCAAAAGCTCCTCATCCGTATGAACCCCCACAAGAGCCGCAACCAGCGCCCCCGTCGCAGTCCCAGTGATGATCCGCGGCAACAGTCCTCTCAATAACAGCGCCTTGACAATGCCCAGATGGCAAGTCCCGAAGACGGCGCCTCCTTGCAGAACCAGCGTCGATCTCCCGAATGCCTGTCGCGTGTCATGCAGCAATTGGAGCCTATCCTGCGAGTCGAAGGCTTTCGGGTCGCGAGGCACCGTCTCCAGTGCCGTGATGTACTCTATCGCACGCCCCAGTTCGGCGATGTACTCTTCAATTAGCAGTTTGGTGCCGGAGTGCGAGTGGTCGTAGAGCTGTGGAGAGGTGATGTTGACGAGATTCCTCACCAGGCCGGACCGGATGAGATGGACGATGGCCCAGATGTCGTTGTTGTTTTTGGCCTGGATGAGGCTTCGCAGCCTCTGTTTAATCACGCGGTAGTCGTAGTGGATGCTGGGGTGACTCTCGCGCCTGGAAGAGCATTAGTTTGGAACATGCAATACATAGATAGATAGATAGATAGATAGATGAATTATCTAGAAAAGAGGGGGAGGACAAACCAGGCATCACTCCCCACCGCCTCATCCAACAAAACCGCCCCGGCCTCCCACTCCTCAAAGCTCTCCGCCGCCGCCATGCGCCTCCGCGCCACAGCCCGGGGCGACTTCGCAAGCCACCATGCAAATAATCTCTGGATCAGATGCCAGCCCGTGTCAGTGATATATCCCAGCGGGGCAAGAAGCACAAGCAACAGCTGCGTCAAAAGAAAGAAAGTCGCACGGCGTGCGGTGTCAAGGATAATAAGGATAACAGCAAGGGCGGGGTTTCTGTGCCTTATCGCACAGGGACATGGGCTGGGTCTTGGAAGGTGAGGAGCGTACATGGTTGCGGCAGCCTTGTATAACTATATTCAAGACTGCGGCCAAGGGCGCCAGGAGGAGAATGCGGGTGCCGAGGAGGATGCTGGTCAGGATTATGGAGATTGTTTGCGGCTTGGTTTGGGCATCTTTGGGTCTGACGCGCATCATGTCCTGTCGAGGGGCGTTCAGGGGCGTTCGAGGGCGCTCGGGAAGGGGCTGTGGGCTGTGGGCTGTGGGCTGTTATGGGGTATTATGTACGTTGGTGAGGCTGCCGGCTGCTCCTTCGCGAACAGCCGCATGCGCGGTGGGGAGGACCGGGTGGTTGTAAAGGGATGGTATATATACAGTTTTCAAGGGAGATGACAAAAAGGGACATTTAAAAATAACATCCAGGAAGGAAGCCTATGTGTTGGATTGCTAGACCCCGTTCTCGTAGATAGGTCACCGTGAAGACATCATCAGTCATGCATTAGCTGGTTGAACACATGTCCCATCGCGTGTCATGTAGCGGGCTTTACGCAGCAACTTTCAAACACCACAGCCAACTTCTGACAAATTGGGATATGTATACCTCCGCGGTTGGTTATTCCAGTGGAATAGGTGAAAAAGTCGTTCGAGGTTCGGTCAAAAACCCGTCGCTTTGTCACATGCAACAAGCCGCTGCTGGTTGTTGTTGTTGTTGTTGTTGTTGGGGGGTGAAACTTGGTTGGGGCTTGGCATTGGGCAAATATAACCAAGATCCGCGCTTAGTCAGCTTGAATTGTTAATTAAACTCCACTATAACTAGTTACCTTGGTTCGTGTTAGCGGAACCTAGCCACGTGACTACCGTATGGGTGTAAGATTTCGGCTCGCCTTTGCTGAACACAAACTCAATAAAAATCCTTCAATGTATTATTGCAATAGGAATCCACATTGAGATCAGAGATTGATGATAATAGATAACAGGTGAGATTGGCGGAGCGGTCCGGGGTGCTAGTTTAGGGTTCTGGTCTCGAAAAGGGGGCGTGGGTCCGAATCCCACTCATCACCCATATTTTTCTGCTCTTCTTGCGGCTTTTTGCTCTGGCCAGAACAGGGTTGGGTTCGCACTGTTCCAACTATCCCATGGGGGGGTTTCTCAATGGGAGGAACATAATTATGAAAATGCGAAAATGGCCACTGTGAAACCGAGTTCTCCTTCTTTCTTCTCTAGACAGGGAGCTGCGGAGGGTTTCAAATTCCCTGATTCCAGTTTCCCTGGCACATTTCCTCCTGCAGGGGAAGGGTCCCATGAGTTAGGGAACTGGAGCAAGCTGAAGAAGAGCAGTAAAAGAGGAAAAGATGCAAGCGTGTCAATTACGCTCACCACGCAAGGAAAGAAAATCTAGTAGAAAGGATGACGACATATTTTCCCATTTTCATATATTAAAGAATAAGAGAAAGAAAACAAGAAGAAGAAAGAGAGAGAGAGAGAGAGAGAGAGAGAGAGAGAGAGAGAGAGAGAGAAGGTAGAAAAGGCAGGCTGGTTGTTGGTCTGATGAGTGCTAATGATTCTTCTCATTTTTTTTTTTTTTTTTTTTTTGGTCTCTTTTTGCCCTTTGTCGTGTGAAATAGAAAAAATAAATAAATAAAAAATCGCTTTCATCCAACCCCCCTTTCCACCCTTTCCTTTTTAGTGTATTCCCCCTTGAATAAAAAAATGACGAGAAAAGGACGTCGCCCGCCACCACCTGAAAAAACAACTGATGTGCAGCAGAACACCCCCTTCACTCCTCAATGATATTACCCCGCTCTGAAACGTATATGCCGTCCAAGAACTATTGGAGTTTGAAAGTAGCACGGTTAGTACAACAAGGGAGAGGGGGGGGGGGGGGGAAAGGTCGGGACAGGGGGAGTAAAAAGTGGGCTAGGAAGAAAGGGATATACTTACTTTTCGGATATCCTTATTTCTAACGCGGCAGATTTGTTGGATATCGGCAGCACTCTGTGAAACGCCTTCCAGCGAGTTTCCAGTGAGCTGGATCTCATCCTTGACGTTGGGCGAGACGGTGATTTCGACGTCTGGCTGGCAGACGACGCGGCGGACTCGCTTCTCGCCAAGGAAGTTTCTGTGGAGTAGACAGCGGTGTTTGGTTAGCATGCTGTTGGGGGGAAATCTATATGCCGGTTTGTGGTTTTTCCCCCTTTTCTTCTCCCTTTCTTCTTTCTTCTCTCTCTTTTTTTTTCTTTCTTCCCCCTTTTTTTCTCTTTTGGGTCTTCTCGGCCGCTTGCCGGCAGAAGCATCTGAGAAGTAGCTCAGGAGCTCCATCATCCCCAACCTCCCCACAGCAATAAAACCACCCCCCTCCCACCAAACGAACACCAAAAGTCAACAGAAAGTCTAGGAAGGAAAATTCATTTTATCCATACCGAATCTCAACCTCCGAAACACCAGTATCCTTATTGGTCTCGATGTTCACGTTGATGGGGAAATGGGCATAGACGTAGCGCATCTTATACTTGAAACCGCGGGTGACGCCAATGATCAGGTTGTTGATGAGGGTACGGACGGTTCGGAGGGAGGCGATGCCCTTGCGGGAGCCATGGTGGATCTCGATGGCGAGGACGTTCTTCTTGGGCAGGCTGAAGGAGACAGCGAGATGGGAGAGGTCCTTGACGAGTTTGCCTGGTGGAGGGGAGACGGGGGATGCGGTTAGATATGCGGTCTCTTTTTTTTTTTTTTTTTTTTTTTTTTTTTTTTTTTTTCAGAGATTTGGCTGTGGTGTGGTATGATGTTTTGTCCGGGGAGGTAGGTGAATTGGGTTTGAAGGGTCCATTTTGAGATTGACTCCAATCCTTCAATGGCTGTCTTTTTCCCGATGCAGACGAGGACACGCATGGATTGGAAATTTGGGGGGAAATGGAAGATATGGCATACCTCGGGGTCCTTCGACAGTGACGACCCGCGATCGGATGTGTATGGTCACTAGAAGTCGTGCAAAAGGCCCAGTTAGCAAAAATAATCAATCACCGTTCTCGTATCTGTCTCGCTCCCACTCCACAAAATCGCCCTATATACGCTACGCTATAATCGGCTCAATTCGAGCTGAAATTCCAGCATTAAAC